CGTTGTTTTAACAATTCGATCAACTTGGTTTAGTAATTCAGTTACCTTCACTCAAAAAGAGTTCAGTCATTTCACCATTGTGATTTGGTCATTTTGCGAGTCTGTAGTTGTTGTCCTATTTTTCTATGTCGAAAGCTCAGTCATCACAGTGCTGCCAATGGCCTTACTACCTTCCAACTATTCCGCGATTTTTAGGTGAAGTAAAACCTAACCATGGAAATTTTATCGAAATACTGAACTAACAACCAATTAAGCACTGGGCACCATGTAACTAACGATATAATTGATAGATGTGTGATTCTTTCATTAGAAAACGATTCGAGTTTGTGGCAAAAAATAAGAAGAACCTACTTAGTCCAAATCTTAATCAATTCTTTCTCTTTTTCCATGAAGCCAATTTTGAATATATAGTGTACATACCATATATTTATCTACATAAAAAGACAAGTTCTTAGTAGCAAGTAACTCTCAAGTTTCTTTCCTAACATTTTGAACTGTAGATCGTCAAGAAAAATTTAACAATTTTATTCAATCACTAAAAGATTTTCCTTCCAGTTTTTCCAGATTGAAGTTATTCGCAAAAAAGTTTCCAAAGCATTCGCAAATATCCAATTTTTTACACGCATCCAATCTAAATCTATTGGACGGCTGGTGTTAACCACACAGGGGTCATCTCCTAGGCTTCTCCAGATAATTCTCCTGTTTGCTTACCCGCGACTCATGCGTAAAAGCTCCTCCTGCCTGACGCGGTTCTAAGTCCCGTACGCTGTGGCTACATCATGGCTCTTCAAATTGCGCAAGCCGTTACTCATTTAGAGCGGCATGTTGAAGATGGTATTATTTCCTTTCCCTTGAGCGGCGTGTACTGGTTCCCATGGCGCTTAAAAAGAAATTCTTAAACTAATTTAATTTAGTTTAAGGCTTAAAAGGAAACACGTCACCACCAGCGAGTCTATTGCGCAAAGGTCCATGTTCAAAGCTTAACAGAGTTAAGCGACAACCTTTTGTTCGCTCTGCCCCATCTAATGAGGATACCGGACTCGAATAATTATCTAGCTGAGGCGGCAAGTTAAATTTCTTGCGTGTATACATACGTATCCAATTGTACGCTATTTCAGTTAACGAGCAGCTACTTGAATGCTGCTTCTCCCGTCTACCCACTTAGCCTTCCATAATTATCACTTGCCGTTCAGTAGATATTAGTTATTGCCGGCAATGAATAAGGTTAGCGGTATGAATGAGGCTAAATATCTGGCGTGGCGTTGTGAGGTAACGCAAAGCGGGAGAGTTACGTTGAGACCTCTGAAGCATGGCGACGCCGGAAAACTGACGTTTGCTATTGAATAACGTGCTTCATTGAATAAATGACACAGTTTAACTTCACTTTTCGACAGTAGTAACATCTTGTCGCGCCTTTACTTCAGTGAGGTGCTATGTCGATCGTAAAATGAACAACACGCGCCAAAAAGAAAAACAATTGTAGTGCAATATATACTCTTACATCTTCTTCTATGATCTCATTCTAAAACCTCATATGATATTTTCAAGTAAGCTTTAATCATAAGCACGCCGCATAGAGTTTAACAATTAGAGGAGAAGGTCAGAGATCTGAAGTCCAGAAAGGTAATTTTGACAGAGTTGAATCGGAATTGAGGAGTAATAAGTGAATCGAAATCTAACTTCTTGAAAATTGCATATTTTAAAAATAAAAGCCGGCCCTCAGCACTGCAATTATTTCCATTCCACCACTCATTATTTCTGAATAAGATCAAATGCCTATAGTGAACGTGGGTTAAGAGAAACCTTTTACGTCTTGGAAATATTACTAATTAGCAAAAAATATTACTCTTTCCTAATTCTATTAGTTGTTTTGCGTTTAAACCACGTTGCCCATTGCGAGCTTTGAACCCAGAACTAATGTAAACCTTGCTGCACTTAAATAAATTGAAGCTGAAATTTCAACCTTTTCTCATAATAAACACTGAACTTGTAGTATCATTTGTCTCCGTAGTGTAACGTAACTTACGTTGTTTATGATTAGCGGAAAAATGTATCTATTCTATAACCATCCCGCCTTGATAGAAGCTAATGATAATTAGTACCCATACATAATCTAAAAAAGTAATCAATTTAAGCGATATATGAAATTTAAGTTTGCTCGATGGGTGTCCGTAATGTTGACTTCTGCAAGCCATGTATACATCAATGAGTTGCATACAAAAGACCTGTGTACGTGTTCTTGACCTTAATTTTCTAATAAATTAAATTTTTTTTTGCCAAAAATGTTTTTTGTTCTATAATTTGCGTTGAAGTGGTAAAGCTGCATTTCGGCAGATATATCTTCTATATATGTTATAGTTATGTAGGAGTAAACGAAAATAAGAAAAGCCTACACTGAAGTGTTTCCAAACCTCAGTGGTAGGGCATGATGATTATATCGTCGCAAACGACTTCATATACCGCGGTTATATTTTTCTTGAGTTTCACGTGGAACGTTCGAGCTCCTGGAAAGGCTCGTATCCGGTGCGGTCAGACAATAGAGGGTTAATTCCTCTCGATTCTGTCACTAAAAAGTATTTGCTTTTCGCTCTCCATTTCGTATACTCTTTTCAACACAAGCTAATCGCTGGAAGACATGACCTAATGGAAATTGGAGTATTCGCCGTAAACGGTTCTATGATTAACGTTTAGTGTAATTTTCTGTCGACTTGCTGTGTAACTTGAAGATTTATACAAATAGAGATATAAGAGAGATCAAACGTACTATACGTATTCACAGTCGACGAAAAAAGCAACTTCCTTCCCTTAAGGCCGCTTTCCAAGACATAGAACATTTTTCGTATATACGTATCTAATTGCATACATCTATCGCCTCAGACTGTAGTGAAATAAACCGATCAACTCTGTTTTTCGGCCGCTAGTAATAAGGTACGTTATTACGAAACCATCGCGGATTCCCATTCGTATAATTCTCGGTGTATATTTAATCAACGGAACGACAATTACAGTTGGCCGAACTGTAAACTAAAAGTAATACATTCTATCACACATCAATCGCTAGCGACATCTTTAGGAAACCCTACGAGATATTTTTAAACTTTTTGATTTTACCTGACGTTTAATAAACAATATGCCGATGCAAAAACCGAAAAAAAAAATGTACTCAACAAATTGACACCCGGATACATATTTTACGTGCAACATTCGCCTTGGATCTAAACACGATAGGAAGTATAAATTCGAATAAGTTTTAATAGAAGAATATATAATGTAACATAGAAATGTATGTGAAACGTAGAAGATAGGTATATTATTATCTCCTGGTGTAAGGGAAACCTCCTGCTCCGACCCAGCGAATAAGGACATTTTTCTGAAACACGTTTCGTTAATCGACCCATTTTCCAGAAAACATATTTACTACTATTTATTGTGTCTATGCATGCCACGCTATAAAAACTCAGAAACATAGCTCTGTACAGTAAGATGCTATACTTCAGTCGTGATGCATTTATGAGAAAAAGCTGTGTTACGTATAGCAAAACATCGAGCATGAATAGGATTATTATGCGAAACGGTAAACATTTTCATAATCGACCAAAAAAATCAACCTCGCTGCCCATGTAGAAAATCAATATAAAAAAAAAAAATAGATTCACAACAAGCGAATGCAGACGATTGCTGCAATAGCACACGTTGTTAGATAAGCAGCGGCAATATCAATCGTAGCACAGATATGCGGAACACATAGAAGATGATAATGACATGTAGAAAGCGTGATAAATAAATGATTTAATATAATAACAGACTAATAACGGTTCTAATGCCTATGTGCTCACAATACTTAATGAAAAAGAGAAATGCGGCATTAGCGTATACAGTCTAAATGCAACTATCTGCTATAAATGACTCAGTAAAGTTCGGCTATACACAAGCACTCGAGCAATTTTTCAAACACTCTTGGTCTAAAAATACAAAGATTGCCCAAAATTTTCTGTCGGTCATTCGTCAGACGAAGATCCTGTATCATTTCGTCTTAGTACACGACGGTAAAGTAGTAGAAATTAACGAATGCAAACCACCTGATCAGTAATGCGAAACGAACTTGTCTAGAACACATTATCGCTTTATTAGTGTCACATCATTTAGTTTCCATCACATTATCTCTGATAAAGCACAGCTGAACATAATGATAATACATGAAGAACAGAACTGGAAAATTAACTTAACCATCCCACGTTGCCTTCTACCCTCAATCCTCCCTGAGCTAAAAACAGCGTCAGAGTAGCCTTAAATTTTTGTCGGATCGAAGCCTGTCACTCTCGCCGCTCCAGATCCGGGCACAGTTAAAAATCTTTATTGATGGACCGTTTATACCCCAGATAGTGGAGTTGTCTGAAAACGGGAACTCTTCCATGACGGAATCAAGTTTTCTGAATCGATCTGAAATTATTGAGGGCGCAGTTTGTAGACCCGCATTGATTTTGGGCCAAGATTGAAAAAAACCAAGAAGTGCCACATTATTTTTATCTTTTTTTTCTTTTTTTTTTTTTTATTATTAATCATTATGAGATATCGACGCTAACAATGTATACGCTTAAATTAATGTCCAAAAGAATAAATGTTTGCATTCTTTGTTTCAGCACTGGAATGCTCTAAATAAATAAAAAAGTTAGGAAGAAAGCATGCAAATATAGTGGAGGCGAGCCGCTTTGTTAACAACATCACTAGTGGCCTGTTTATTTTTTCTTAATTCGAGCTAAGTAACCAATATAGGACTGATGTCTATTGCATTGCTATAGAAGTAAGTTCACCCGTGTACTTGTGCCATCTTGTACGTGTCATTGTGGCTAGCTTCTATGGCAGATCACGGTATCGCCACTTGAGCCCCACAGAGCGAACCTTCTGTAATACTTCCTTGGCCAGACTTCTCCTTTCCGCGCCTTCGCCCTCTCCTGTTGAGCTCATAGCAGCGATAGAGTCTTACCAGAGCGGCTCACCCATACACGCAGTGAAATCGATCGTGTGTGCTGTATTGATGATTGAACTGAGTATTGTTCGAACTGTTGTCCATCCCATCTTGCGATAGGTGCCATTTCTCAGAGTCGCCGACTCAAGTGTTAGTGACTCTCCTTTGTCTCCAATTTGTTTCTGCCCTGTGTTTGTTTCGCGCCGAGATTTTCGTGTTCGTTCGTCTGTGTTGCTGGATCCCTTTTCGGAAGAGCGACGCAGTGTAATTATCTTTAGAGCCAGTCGCGTGCGACATTGCCGGAGGGAAAAACACCAACTACTGCCTAGGTCTTTTAAACAGGTAGATGACTCTTCTAACTGCGTGACTCACGGCGACGGTATATTACGTGGTGGACGGCTACGGCGCTACGAGTACTTTAGGCTCGAACGTACGTGACCGCCTTGTGTTTGGTTCTGTGTGCTGAGTCAAGAATTCCGCGTCACGCAACTGATACCAGTGAGGCTGTCAGCCATTGCCAATTAAGTAGTTACCAATAGCGGAACACAACCATAGCAGCGGTTATAATCATGGGAAACCACAATTCGATTATGCTTTCCGAGGAGGAAATCGCTGAAATTCAGGCTGAGACTGGTTTCTCATCGAACCAAATCGAGCGGTTGTATTCACGTTTTGTCAATCTTGACCGAAGTGACAATGGCACGCTGTCTCGGGAAGATCTACTGCGCATTCCAGAACTAGCTATCAACCCGCTGGGCGATAGAATCGTTCACACAATATTTGCCGACGCCTTCGACGACCGTATCAATTTCCGCCAGTTCATGCGAGTCCTGTCAAGGTTCCGCCCCATCAAAAAGAACAAAGACAACAAGCTGAATTCGCGCGAACAAAAACTGCAGTTTGCCTTCAAAATGTATGATCTCGATGATGACAATAAGATCTCACGGGACGAACTGCTTGCCGTTCTCCATATGATGGTTGGTGCGAACATCTCTAACGAGCAGCTAAGTTCGATAGCCGATCGGACAATTATGGAGGCTGATCAGGACGGCGACAATATGATCTCTTTCGAAGAATTTTGTGCCACGTTGGCCAAGACTGATGTCGAGGAGAAAATGAGCATACGATTCCTTAATTAGAGACAAGAGCGAACTCCACCCAGTACGTTTGATACGATGCAGAGATCTGTAAACGTGGAAAAAAGCGGTAGTGATCGCTCTCGCCGACAGAACAACAGTTAAATAAGCCACGACGTTCCAATATACTATATGAACCCCATAAATTCCAACGAGCAGCCCCCTGGCCTTTCGTGGTTACTTTTGTCGGACGTATTTAGCTAACACAGAAAGAACACAGTAAGCGAAATCACAAGCTTTGCCAGACATCTCCAGGAAGCTTGAATTAATCGGACAGGCGAAATTTCACTCCACACCACCCTTAGTTAGAAAGTCATATTTCCCGTGGTTCTATAAGTGAGTGCATGTGTGCTCAGCATTTCCAGTGCCACTTTACACATTATCTATGGCGACCTTTGGCGGCAATCGAAGCAGCTTTCATACAAGTGGCTAATAACGTCATTTCAGCAAAGAGAAGATTGTCCTTTTTTTAAACGACGGTCCATCTAAAATTCTACTCTAAAAATATGTTTTAATTGAAAATAATTTACAAAATATTTTGAAGGTATTTTTTTCCAACCAGTAAATGTCAGTTAGCTATAACAGATAGCCGCCGACACTACAAACCAATATGAAGCTGAGCAACAGAAAACGATAAGTATTGCCAGTTTGGAAAACTTATAGAGAGATAAATTTGCTACTGCATCTCCCCTCAGCGGTTCCTTAGTTTACAGATATGACTGCGCCTCAAAACGAATTTCTTACGTCAAATTTTGGTCCATCCTAATAAATGGTTACAGAGGTAAATTCCTCCGGAGAAAAATCGTCAGCGAAGGCATACTGACTGTTACCTGTTCATGAATTACAGAATCAGCCCGTTTAAACTATTCGATTACGTTCAAGAACGTGATGATAGAAGATCTCCGCTTTGTCTTCTTCTAAGATATTATACAGCGAGCAGCTTTAACAGCTATTAGATTACCAGAACAGCTCCTGAACTAGCTTCGAGTCATTGGTGCAATTTAAGCGTTGTAAAGACTCTGCCGTATACAGTAAAAGTCAGAACGTTGATGACGCTCTGCCTTTTGCAGACATATTTGTTTGAGGCCTGCTTAATAAGCTGGGACTCTGTGTCCGGAACAGACGTTAACTGACTGACCCGGCTCAGTCCATGGCGTTTTGTAACGCGCGATTATTCAAGAGGACAGCAGATGTAGAGTACCGCACAGGCTTAGCCTGCGTTTTTTCGCTGTCCAATTGTCAGAATGAGACGTCTGCAGAACTTACCATTGTATTGCTGGATTCACTGTGCACCTCCTCATTGTCAACTATTGTCTATTTGCGCTCAAAAATAGCGACTGGTGTAAGAGAAATTCGAGGTGCAATAAGGCCGAATCTGAACTTTAATTGGTTATAGAAACGAAAGCTAATTATTGTCCTGTGTTATAGGTGCATCCAAAAGATAACAGGGATGATAGTAAAATATAAATAATTGGTCGTAAGATTAGTAGTAAAATGTAACACTAAAAAAGAAGACGAACATATAGAAATCACTTAATGTGTGTGTTAAAAGAAAAAAAAAACTGGTATTTAGCGCTAACGAGCGTGTTGGACAACAATTGCCTGTATGACGGCTTTTGCGCCGTGATTTGTTAGTTTAACAACATGCAGCAGAGCTTTGCTGTGCTTCTTGTTGAGCAAAATACGTGTTAAAGAAGTCCTTGCATATAGTTGCTCATAACTTGAGAAGACCGTGACAGTATTCCTGTGGTGAATACCATAAACCAGTTGAATCCTGATTCGTTTGTACAATAAACAAATATGCAACCATTCCTAAAGTAGCTGGTTTACCCATTGTCACCAATTTGTGTGAGGATCCTTCCAATATCCGAGACTCCAACGAGGTTTATCATTAAAACGTCATATACTCGAGGTAATTTTTCGCATTTTAATAGAACCAATCATACTCGGAACACGCAAAGAACTTCCTCAGTATAAACTTTATAAGAGTGTATAGATATGTCATCACCTAACGAGGGGTTTGATGCAGGATCCACGAAGTTGTTGTCGTATACTTTTAGGGCGCGGCTTGAAAAATAAGTGGAAAATAATGTTGTTCAATATGAACGCGACACAGAACGTATAGATTAGAGGGCACTATTTTAGAGGCATGTGCCCATGTTACGTTACCAGAGGTATTTTCGTATCTAAATATATATTGCATGTTGTTAATGTTGAATGACTGATTATTATTATTATTATCATTGTTACCACTCTGTGTAAACATAGTGAAGCATGTCTGCACTGACAACGGCGTGGTGACGACAACGAGACAAAAGTGACCAAAGCAAGAAGATTTTTCTAGGAGTGTCACCAAGCAAAGGATAATAATAATAATAAGATTAATAAAATATTTGTAGGTATATAGATTTAGCGAACGCTGTTCTGGTGTACCTAGACAAGAAGATCATAGCGTAAAAGTTTTGTTGTAAATTACGATAATACACGAATTTACAATATGGGACAAGAAGCAATTAGTCAACGATGACAATTGTCTCAACATAGGGAAGTGCAATGCTATACAGGAGAACGGTTTTGATGATTGAAATTATTACGACGTTGTTTAACAGGAATATTAATCTAAATATCATATTTATATCAGTATACCCCCTTATTACGTCGCTCGTTAGCATTATATATAAAGAGAAACAACTGAATAAAAATGTATCTAAGATAAACGAGTTATGTGTTCATACTTTGAAATAGGTAGTGAAATCAGAGGACCTGGCTGTATTTAGATCGGTTCTCATATGTAAGCGTAAAAAGAAAGACCAACTCTATCATCTGATCCTTGAGCTTATTGAAATGTTATCGAAGTTTCGCCATCTATAAGGACATGCAATAAAAGCCCGTTGCCTCTTGTACCAATCGAAATTCAGATAGCAATGACCACTTCAGAGAATATGTATCTACTTGTTTAGCTTAGCATGGCAATAGTTTCGTTACAGCTACCTACGGCACTGTGAATTTACGCACTCAAATGTACTTGGTTGTCAGCTTACCATAATGAAACCTAGTGCTGCTATTTCCTAAAGACCTTCTGTCACGAAGCTCGCTGAGGACCATTTACCCAACGAAAACTTGTGCTGTTTTAAAAACGAATGCCCTATTCGAAACCTCTGCTTTTCTTCTTTAGACAATGATTTTTGCTAAGCAGATTAGGCGGTCCCCCGCCGCCCTCCTTCGCAATACGTGAATAGTATGTATATTCTCTTACACTGTCGCTGCTATCGGAGTAGGATGTATTGAATCGAGTGGATTCAATGTCATCACACCCTCAGAGGCGGCCATCACATAGCGGACATCAGATCATTCTATAAATACAATCCCGTTTATGCAAATCATCTTGCGCGCATTATATCTATTTTGCCAAATTTGCTCGAGTCGAGCGAAACAAGTTTTTTTCTTTTTCTAACAGTACAAGGTGAGTATTTTGTTATACCGATGTAGTACACCTTTGTGGTGATTTTATAAATGTGATTTTTCACTAACCTCGTGTAGGCGATTAATTTACTGCTGCTATGCATGAAATTAGTTGACTGGTTACGAGGAGTAGACATTTTTAACAGGACGACTATGTTTCGTTGGCCTCAGTTAAAAAAGAACCAGGCCGGCTTCTTCGCTACATGCTACCAAAGTACAATGAAATCTTCAATACTCCAACATTACAAGAATTAAATAGTGTTCGTTTAAAATTATTAAAGCAAATAATAGTGACCCGTGATTAAGGAACCGGGATGTAGCATAGTTGGGTATGTGTCGAAACAGCATTAATATTGCAAGAAAGGCAGACCGCAAGCAATGCCAAATGTCTAATTTGATATTTTCTGTTCGCATCCGCATAGCCCTAGCCGTATTAATTGTCACTTGAACATGCGTTCATTTTTATCAAATCATTTTTTCTGTCCTTTGTACCACCATCAATTGCAATTATCTTTTTCTGTGATCCGGTATTAGCTGTGTGAGCAGGAATCATCGACACAAAAAAGCCCCTCGTAGCACGTTTTGCAGCTTGAGAGCCAACTTGTTTAGGCGAGTCTCCTGTGACCGATGTAAAGTAGACGTCCGTCCAGTAATGCAAAACAGCAACGTGTGTACCCTTCATCTTGATGCGTCGCATTAGTGTAACGGGATGTCAGCGCATGGTGGTCGGTCGTTATAAGGCGGACGCGTTTTCTGGCGAAGTTACATTGTCCGAATGGGGAGCCTAATGGCCGCATGACGCTACGCGCAAAGCTGCGCGACACGCCGCACTTCCGGTGCGCGCAAGAGTCACTCGCTCGGTGTCGATTACTTTACTATTTCGTCGCGATGGGTTTCCACAGATCGCTGCAAGCTGGGCTTCACAAAAGACCATCGAGACACGGACATTGTTGAACAGGCATTGCCTGGTTTAGCGAATCGGGTACGCCAGCCATCACGCACAGCTCGACTCCTATTGCTTACGTGTAATATTTCGAACAGGAATAATAGATTGAACGCTAGCTATTACTAACACACTTACTCGTATAGAAATGTAGACAGGGACAAAATAGCTAATAAGGGTTACGGTGCTCAGTACAAAGTAAATCCAATCGTTCGTGGCGAAGGAAGGCGTTGGCCTTATTCTCCATAGTACTATCTCCAAAATCAGCTTCAGAGACATCAATAAAGTCAAAAAAGCTCTGATGAGTACGCAAAAACTGTCGACAAGAACTAGAGTAATATTAATTCAAATTTAAATTTGTAGTTAAATGTGAGGGCAATTGAGACCTTTTTAATTCGAAATTATGTTTTTTTTTTTTTTTATTAACAGGTACAGGATATAAAATAGATTGATGAATCAAAGAAATAATAGATCTTCTCGTAAATATGACATATGATGTAAAAAATCATTCAGCAATTTCTTCTCGGTAACCTTTATTATCGCTATACGGATGTGTCGCCTTTTGCCAAAAACTTTACGAACTTGATAGTAATAAACAATCATAAAAACGCATTGTAATTAAATATCATAACCAAATTCCTGATAAAGCAAGCGAACCACTTGAATAAGCAATGTTTTCGTATAAATATTAGGAGCATTATTAACAGCTTTTCGTAACGAAAAAAAAAGACTTTGTAGACGGTACATGTAAATATTCTATGTGATGTCCTATACTTGTTGCATAGAGGTTGTCTGGTCTTAATGAGCAATTTGTATACGCAACATGGTTCTATTGTTGCTTTCGCTTCAAATAAGGCTTACTGGGATGTCCTTATATCATAAACATTGCTCTGTGTAACGCTTGGAGATTTCCTGCTTACCTACTAGTGGGTTCCAAAAACTACTCTTTAAATGTACTCAGATGTAACCTAACCTAACGCGCCTTTACCATATGAAACTCGTCGCTCGTCAGTGGTAATTGGTCCACAGTGTCGTACTCGAAATGAGACCACGTGGGTGACTGAAGGCTGCCTTGAGGCATTTCAGCCTGATGAACGTTGTCAACATTTTTCTTTAGGTTCAAGCAATATACGTGGCTAAAGCTATGCGCCTGTTTACTATGCATGCGTATATGTTAAAAAAAAAAAGAAAAAAAATATATATATATCGTAACCGGTGCCGCCCTGTTTTTTGGGTTTCTTATATACACACACCTATTAGTAGTTTATGTCCTTAATCGCCTGAGAGAAATCTTGACAAAACAAACGAGTTAACGCAGTGAACGAACGCAATACCGTTATCTTCGTTTGTTAAGCGTCAAGCTTAACGTTGCAATTACAATATTAAGTCCGCGAAGAAAAATATAAAATTATGATGAAAATATAAGATCTGGGTAAAGTTTATATGATCGTTAAATTTTCGGCCTTATTCACTCCTGTGTCCTCACCTAAAAGCCTCTTCGCAGCTAAATTGTTTTGTAAGTTTGATTAGCTAACTGCGAGAGAACTGTTTGGTACAACTGTTGTCAGCCTGTTGCCTACAGACTCTATGCACCAAGATTTGATGGCTGATTCTCCTGTAAAATTCAGCATTGTGCAAATTGTCGGGTAGAATCATGTGAGAAAGCTACAATAAAAGCAGTAAACCTTTCATATTATATCTTTTAAAATTTTGCTCCGACTACGCGCTAATTTGCGCTGGTGTTTACATAATAATCCATAGTAGAGCTTTTGATTAAAAGTGTTATGAACTATTCTCATTAACTGCTGTCTATTTATACTTACAGCATGCTTTAAATACGATTCACTTTTTGTTTATTAATGTGCTTGCAATATCGATGTTTAGACAAAGTTTCAAAGCATTGCGTCTGAGTAGTATAGGCACCATCTGCCACGAACAATTGGACTCAAGTAAAATGCCTCTAAAAATCCCCGTGTAAATATACAAGTAATTAATGTTTTTTTGTAAATGCACTTAACACTGAACTGTTCGCAATAAAAATTTCTATTCTTCTCAACTAAGACGAATATATTTCTACTTATAAAGAGGATGTATTTCCTAATCAACAATGTATGCACGTGCTCAGCATTTTCGAGGCGTTCAGTGTTTCACCGGTCAGTTAGATCTATCGCTCTAACTTCTTTATTTTTTTTATTAAAAATCTCAATTTTTTTAAATTTAGAAACTATTCTCTATTCCGCAACGTTTCGGGAAATTCGAAACGTGCGTCATTTACGAGGCTTATCGTTAACCCGGAAGAAAATAAAGAGGAAAATGATCAATCAATTCCCCATTCCGGAATCTTTTCGTTGCAAGAGCTGTGCGAACTCGCAGAAGTCTTCCCATTGTTTTGAAAATGCCCAGTTTCCGCAAAAGCACTTCTGTGCTAATAGCCCTTAGTCTTGCTCCAAATCGTTGCTAGATCCGGTGTTTCTAGCCAGAAAACTTTATGGAGGTTGGTCCTTCAATAACGGGCATGCGTACATATTGGTAAGTTCGTCTGCTGGTTATGCTTCACCAATTTCGTTACACTCGAAAGCAAAAACAAATGTTTATTTCTGTCCTTGCTCTAGATTGTGCAAGTTACATAAAGCATGACGTTCTTTTGGGTATATTTACAAGTAAACGCTAAGTCCCCGATAATTACGTAAAGCGACACTAGACGTTACGCGCTAAGCGTTGGCGGTGACTTTTTAAGATGTAAGTTCTTCGGTCTTAGCTCGTGTTTACAGTGAGTATGATGTTAGATATAGCTGCTCCGCTAACGTGCTGTTTCGCAAAGCTGATAGACACTAGCGAACGGTGCTAGAAGATGGTTATTTGTAATGGAAATTTTCTTAGGGCTACTGCTGACAGTCGTCGCTAGTCCGAAGTGAACTAGTTGAAGATTAACAACTGGGGCGCGTCTGGCCTTTGGCACTTATAGGTCGCTTGTAGAAACTTTAGATAATCAAGGGTCGTACGAGAACAATGGATTAAGATACAGACCGAGGTTTGGGGTTTGTGATGTCAAAATCATCTATACTTGAGAGAAATAGCATGTTTATGTTAGATTTATTTCTCGCCGAACAATGAGTTTTCCAGTTTTACTTACTCATTAAACAAAAAAGAAACTAAAGTTCTCTATATACGGCGATATGTTTTTCTGGCTCTATTCATGGCGATACATAATAGTATCGAGCGTAAGCAACATTATTTGGAGGTCAACAAGTACAATTACTCAATCAAACTAAGATACACTAAGAGTACAACTACCCAATCAAAGATATACGT